ACAGTTGCTTCTTAAGACCGCGAAAGCAATAAGAAAATCAGAAAGGGAGAGGAGTCATTATCGTTTTGCTCTACGGTACCATAGAGTGACGCGGGGCCCCGCCCCACCGCGCGGGAAAGCGCGCCTCGTGAGCCGAAATCCTAGGGACGTGATGCATGAACGGAAACCGCAATTCCTGACAACGACATGGGTCTTTACGTGTCTACCGGCCCAATGCGCCAGCAGCTTCAGGACAGCGTTTGCTAATGATGCTATAGAAACCAGGCGCAAACTGAAGTTCCACTGTCTCTGGCTAGAAATGTTTGCATCACAAATATCAGGAGGGAACTGCCTGCAAGACATGTGTGCTTTCTGTAAAATAAAGTTTAGGCAAGGAGACTCACCAACGTTTTGGTGCCTTGGTCCTCTTTCCGTTCACGCATTGGAAGAACGCGCTCGAAACTTTAAGAAGCCACAACTGTGGCTACCACAAGACCGCTGCGCGTGTCAATCTTCGTGTCAATTGAAAACGATAATCAACACTGTTCTGGTATGTCATGTGTCTGTCCCTTTGCTGCGTGAAACGTTGCTTTCACAGTTCATTTTACTTCTTCTAAAATATATGCTTACTATGCATATTTTTTCTTAATTCCACATAACATATCCACCCATGTTTCTTCAATCTGTGCATTTCTTGTCATGCGTTTAGTCGCGAGTTGCAAAAATCGCTCGGTGTGCCATTCTCGTTATGTCAATATAAAGACACGAACAGATGAATTGAATCATCATCATCAGCATGATTACGTCCACTGCAAGACAAAGACCTCTCCCATGTTCCGCCATTCAACTCGGTCCTGTGCTTGCTGCTGCCTCTATATACCCGTAAACTTCTTGATCTCATCTGCCCACCTAAGTTTTTGTCTCCCTTTAAAACGCTTGCCTTTTTCGCGAATCCAGTCAGTTACCCTTACTGACCAGCGATTATCCTGCCTACGCCCTACATGCCAGCCCATGCCCATTTTTTTTCTTGATTTCAATTACGATATCCTTAACTCCGGTTTGTTCCATGACCCACTTTGGTCTCTCCTTGTCTCTTAACGTCACACCATCCATTTCCCTTTCCAGGCTCGCTGCATCGCCCTCAATTTAGGCTGGACCCTCTTTGTAAGTTCCAAGGTTTCTTCTCCGTGGTTAAAAACCGACAAGAAACAGCTGTTGCCTTCCCCTTGAGAGATAGCGGCAATCTACTAGTCATGAACTGACAGTACTTGCGAAATCTGCTCGACCCCATTCCTATTTTTCTAATTACTTCAATCTGGTGATTTGGCTACGCAGTTATGACTTGTCCTAAGCAGATTGAGTCTTTTATTACTTCAAGTGCACCTATTACCTATTTTGAAGCGCTGTTCTCGTCCGACGAGGTTTTTGTACATTAATATCGTTTTCTTGAGATTGATTTTCAAACACACACACAAATATATATATATATATATATATATATATATATATATATATATAGTCCAGTAGATCCTCCGTGAGCGGTGACAACGTGGTTTATTTCGACGTTTCGGCCTAGAGTCTGGCCTTCATCAGGATTCTGATGAAGGCCAGACTCTAGGCCGAAACGTCGAAATAAACCACGTTGTCACCGCTCACGGAGGATCTACTGGACTATATGCAACGCTACGGTTACTCAACCACCATGCCTGCCCATATATATATATATATATATATATATATATATATATATATATATATATATATATATATATATATATATATATATATATATATATATATATATAGTCAAATATTTTTTTCATTTTTTCAGCATTATATTCCGTACTGTAGCCCTCTTTGCCACACTGTTGAACAATAAATCTTGAAAACTTGTGCTCACTACAGCTGCCCACACTGCATATCCTATTACGCTGCATTAGGTTTATGACCACTAGGTCGCGGCGTCTAATCCCGGCAGCAGCAGCTGCATTTTCGATGGAGGCGAAAATGCTGCAGGGCCGTGTGCTCAGATTTGGGTGCATGTTTAGGTACCCCAGGTGGTTGAAAATAATGGAGCCCTTGACGACGGCGTCTCTCAAAATCATAAGGTGGCTTTAGGACGTTAAACCCCCTTATGAATCAGTGAATCATCAATCAACGGTGTCTATCATAATCATTTCGTTATTTTGGGACGTTTAACACCACATATCAATCAATGAATGAATCAATCAATCAATCAATCAATCAATCAATCAATCAGGTTTATGACCAACATCATTTTATTTATCAGCCCAATTAAGTTCGAAGACGAGTATGTTGGTAGGTCTTTCTAAAGGTATGATTGGCCAGCGCGTCTGCCTGTGTTGCACCTCCGTTATTAGACACATCGCAATGCCTTTAGCCGTTAGGGCATAGGAAAGATTTGTATCAATAAACTATACATTCGCATAAAAGGGAAGGTCGGTGTATGAGCCCCATATTCTGTGCGCGTTTGTGTGTGTGTGTATGTGAGTGTGTGTTTACATGTTAGCAGGACGCGCGAAGTTTCAATTCAAATGTCATTTGCTGGCTTCAGTATATCTTAGCACGTGTACGAAGAGTCACACTGTAATATGCTTGAACGTTGCCTACCAGACCTTGGATCTGTGTCTGGCTTTTACCATTAAAACAAATCTAAAGTTGTCGTATGTCGTAATGATCGACTCCGGCGAAGTATGTTCCGGTGGTTACACGTATGACCACTGCTGCAGCAATAAGCTTGTCACCGAGCCAAATTAACGCGCTCGCTGCCGAAATCGCGGCCCAATATCTTAGTGTGCCAAAGTCTTGACAAACATCTCAACACCTTTTCCCGTGTGCAGACATTATTGACTGTAAAAGCACCCAGGAATGATATTGTGATAGCAGCACCACATAGTTTCTGAATCATGTCAGCGCGAAGCAAAAAACAAAAAAAGGGGAGTAAATAGTGGAAAGGGCACGGCGAATTTCGGAAAGAGTATGAATCCCCCCTCCTCCACTTTTGGCTACGCCATTGGTCCAATCAGTTCATCATCCTTTTTGAGTAGTGCTCGCTGTACAAAAAATTTAGTGCACTCTAAAATTACGTGTTTTAGTGTCTCACAGGAGCTACACGACGAACATATCAGACGGCTAGCACGTCCTAGACGGTACTATCGTTCGTGCACCGACACAGAACCAACTCTTGGACTGTAAAACGGGGCTCTGTCACGACTCAATCCAGGAACACGAATTCCAGGATGAATTACGAATTACAACCTTGAATGGAGGAAGAATTACGGGAAGAAGGTATCCGTGTGCTACATGAGGTGTTCAACACTTAACTGCGGCAGAAGGGATTTCGTGTAAACATTGTTAATGGCAATAATCATAGAAATTAACACAATTTATTTTAAACCACTGGAAATAAGCGGTTAAGTCAAATAAGCGAATTCAAATTATTCTGCGAATAGTTCATAGCAACTTTGAAAATTTCGAAACACGGCTGCTAGTAATCACGAAGGAGCGATGAAAGCTGCCGAATATAGTGGGCGCAACCAAACCCAACGCACCAAATTGCGCATCTATCATACACTTCGCAGACTACCTAAATGACGACACTGTTTTCCTTGCCGTTATGAATCGTCCCTTTACTTCGTTTCGTTCCACCGCTTTACTGCCACATGGCCGCCGCTTATCGACGCTCGCTTATCCTCCTCCGCCGATGCGAGGAAAAGTGTAGGCACTGTGGGCGTTTCGAAAGTGAATGGCAGATGCACTGCTTGGTGCATTTCTTTCGATTTGATCTGGCAGATTTCACCACCCCGCGGTAATTAGTAGTGGCCGCCTTTCAGAAATTTCAAAGTCCCTATTCAATCATTGGACTCAAACCCTCAATTACTCCCATTGTAAACTTATTTGTGTTAACTTCGATAATTGCTGCTATATTCATTGTTAATGCGCATCAGAAGAAACCTTCTCCCACCGAACGGGGAACGCCGCAGGTAGCACGCAGACACTTTTTTTTTCTGTAATTTTTCAACACTGGGGGACACATTTCTTGAAACACTTCATACAGTCTATTGCTAAAGCTACTGGAATCACTTGCATTAGAGCGCCTCGCTGCACAAATGTATTCTTCTTTAATCGCTAACACCAATTACAAAACTTTGTTTCATCACATTGCGATGATGTTGTTCTATTATAAACAACTGGCAATTGCTGTGGAGTTGCAGATATTTATGTATCACCTCGGCTGCTTCAATTCTATACGTGCCCCGCCGCGGTGGTCTAGTGGCTAAGGTACTCGGCTGCTGACCCACAGGGCGCGGGTTCGAATCCCGGCTGCGGCGGCTGCATTTCCGATGGAGGCGGAAATGTTGTAGGCCCGTATGCTCAGATTTGGGTGCACGTTAAAGAACCCCAGGTGGTCTAAATTTCCGGAGCCCTCCACTACGGCGTCTCTCATAATCATATAGTGGTTTTGGGACGTTAAACCCCACATATCTATCAATCAATTCTATAAGTTCTTTTTTGAAAAGAAGAGATCGGTTACCTAGAACCAAGGAAAGCAAAAAAAAAAAATCAAATAAAACAAAAGCTGAAAAAATAACATTATAAGCGTATTTACCAAAAGGCGAGCATTTTCCTCAAAGAAATCTTCGCGGGAACTGGACTATATAGGCCTTTTTGATGAACATCTATATGTTACTTTAAACGATGTGTTATTTCAGTCCGTATACTGTAGACAGAACTAGAAACTGGTGCACATGAATGCTTTGTAGCGATGTGAACTCTTGCGAGTGATTGTGATGTCTCGTCTTGTTGGCACATTCGGGCGCTCTTTGCCTACTTGCGCGAAGATTATATATTTCATTCAAATCCCCCATTGAACCAGGATAGACCTTAGCACTTCCTTCTTTCAACTGACTAGCTGGGAAGGTTTTCTTTCGTTTTTTTTTTCTTTTGTGGTGTTCCGTACCAGTTCAGTTCAAATTTTCAACACTTCTCGCGACACTCACCAGTGTTGCCGTGGCCGATGCGGTCGCGTGTCTCTTACGGCGCTGTCCAGCGATGCCACCACCAAGCTTGCCAAACTCCACAAGGACCGGTGACGCTGTCACATGCGGCCTCGACGCCTTCCGGCCTCGGAAGCGCAGTGGTTCCATCGAGCCGTCTAGGCAGGACGATAGAAAGGACGATAGCATTACAACCCCTAGCGCGTTTCGAACCGACTGAACCGAGATGCGCGCAGCGGCTCACGTTCGCACGCTACGCGCCCCTCCTTTCAATCCATCCCCCACTGTTGTGGAAGAGTGCGGACAACTCCCTGCACGCGCGTGCTTGCTTCGGGCACAAGGCTGTAGCACTCTGCCTAAACCTTGTGTTGGCAGAGGTTAGGAGTGTTCGCGCGCGAGTGGAAATGTCTCGTATGAAATGAGTGTTTCACAGAGGCGGGAAGAGTAGAGGGAGAAGAGATAATAGTGATATGCGCAGCTTTACGCCCCAAAACCACGATATGATTATGAGAGACCTCGTAGGAAAGGTTCCGCGCATTTCGACCACCTGGTGTTCTTTAACGTGCGCTGACATCGCACGGTACACGGGCCTCTACAATTTCGCCTCGATCGAAAAGCGACCGCAACGGCCGGGTTTCAACATACGTCCAATGGGTCAGTAGCCAAGCACCTTGACCACTTCTCCACCGTGGCGGACAGGTGGAAGTTGGAAAAGTGAGGGAATAAACTACCTCTATAAGTGATATGAATAAGTGTCTGTCTTCATCCTTCATTGAACGTTATGGGTCTATGTTCTCTTCTGTTGTGATTGCCTTACAGCGGAGAGGTTGAGGTTCATATTACCTCCGCTACTATATATCCAGGTTTTGCAGAAACAAAAAAAAAACTGATAGAGTATCATCATTTTATTTAGTTTTAGGGTATCACTTTGGTGTCTGAGTTAGGGTTCTCCATGGAATTTCAAGTATGAAAATTGGAATAGACAAAGAGACCCTGTTTCGGTTCGCTCTGTTCGATAAGCATGCATTGGCACGCCTCTTCAGGTCAACCTATATCTGTGAAATTGAGTGAACCTCCGCCCCTAACTAAGACACGTAGGATATATTTGGATCTTTCTCAAACACATGCAGAACAAGAGAGGCAGGAGCAAATAGCGTTTTATGCTCAGCACATGCTTTTATTTTCTTATGAGAAACGATATAGCACAATTCTGTGTTCGCGCGCACGCGCGCCGCCGTTTTTTTTTTTTTTTTTGTCGCAGTGTTGTGCTTTCCTCCCTAGGAACGTCATACACGCGAGCAGAGACGTTTACAAAAATGCATATTCAATACACAGCAGCATATTTCATAGGTTGATGACGGACCCGAAATATCAAGCGTATAATGTGTGCAAGTGCACATTGCCAATACAATTTGAAGTATATTAATCTAGAACCAAAACGTATCCTACTTTTATGCACCATCTGGCGCGCACTGCTAGGTGTTTCTTGTATATTAGAGAGCTACAGGTGGAAGTAAAGGCGAAACAATATAGGCATTATTTCACCAATAGGTGTTTTTACCTGTTTATTGTTACCACCAAAATGGAGCCCGGTTCAGCGAGGATCTGACGAAGAATACAAAAGATCTCTTAATGCACCATGTCTTTCTTCACAAGAAGGATTTCACCTTGTTGTAACTCTGTTTGCGGCAATGCCTGTATTACAATGCACACAAATGAAGTCGCTGATGAGGTCCTCTGACGCCCGACAAGGTACCTTTCGGCAAGGTTGGCCTCTCGAACGTTGACGTCCAGCCACGGCAACGCGTCTTCCCCGCTCCAGCTTCTGGCTCCATCTCCTTGAACAACGTGCCCTGTTCTGTTGTTTTTTAATAAGATAGCAAATATATAGATACCTTAAGGTATATATATATATATATATATATATATATATATATATATATATATATATATACAGTTATAAACTTCGAGAATAGTGCAGTATAGGAAACAAAACAATAAAATATTTATTTAATCCTAACAGTTTCGGCTGGTGGACCAGCCTTCTTCGGAGGATGTAAGGCTGGTTCACCAGCCGAAACTGTTAGGATTAAATAAATATTTTATTGTTTTGTTTCCTATACTGCACTATTCTCGAAGTTTATAACTTTTTTTTACGTAAGCCTTCTTCGGAGGAAGAAGGCTGGTCCACCAGCCGAAACTGTTCGGATTAAATAAATATTTTATTGTTTTGTTTACTATACTGCACAATTCTCGAAGTTTATAACTTTTTTTTACGGTAGCCGGAAGAAACGCTGATCATCTATTTCATATATATATATATATATATATATATATATATATATATATATATATATATATATATATATATATATGGCGCTTCACAGGTGAATGGGGAGCATCGATACGCCAGGGAGCATCGATACGGTGGTCTGTGGATAGGCACGTTGTTGCTGAGGGCAATGCAGTGTCGTTCCTCCGCGATACATCCGAAGTCCATCTGAGACTTTGAGAAAATGTCCTCATAATTGTGAAGCACCTCTCTCAAAGCAGCTTGTTGCGATGGTGGAAGGTGCGTGACATCAACGGCTTGGAGAGGGGTTGTATCGGCGCTGAAGACACACTTTTGTGTTTGAAAGGAATTCTGCAAAGCTTTGTTGTCTTCAAACAAAGTCATTGTGTTTAAATCCAGTGACAGGTTGAAAAAGGAGGCGTTGTCCAAGCCTAGCAAGAATTCAGTCTTCATGCCTGGTAGAACGTGTGCTTGGACTGCCCGCTTTAACTTCCCTATTTCCAACTGTACGTGTACGCGGCCCCAAAGTTTTTGTGGTTGAGGTGACTTGTTGGACACCAATACATGAATCCTTGAGCAACTGCAGCTTGAGTTTTTTGAACACAACTTCATTGATAAAGGTAATAGTCGCTCCTGTATCCAGAGTTGCGTCCACTATGTGTCCGTTCACAAAACGCACCAAAACGTATTAATGAGCCTTTGGGCCGCCCTCTTCGTTTCCCTGGTTGTCAGTTAGAGCAGACACCATTTTACGACGAGGGCACTCATTGTGCCAGTGAAACTGATTCGGCAAACCAGTAGATGCACAATGTCGGCAATCACTGTGAGGGGTGCGCATCAATCCTGTAGGGAGCCATGGTCGCGTAGAATGAGGCTCTCGACGCATGAGCTGCCGTTTTGACGAGTGTTGGGAAGCATCTCCGTGGACACAGTCTTCCGCTTGAAGCGCAGCAGCAAGCCACTTGGCTGGGGTGGTAAGCGTCAATCCAGCGAGGCGCCTTTCAATCTCTTCAGGTACACCATCAGTCAATCCTGATAATATGTGAATGTATTTTAAGCCTGCGAGGCGACCAAGGTGTGTCTTCTCTTCGTAGTAGTGCCTGATGCGCTGTTCTCTTTTGAGCCTGCAGTGTATGAATTGGCGGAAAGGGTCGCTAACAGGTGCAGAAAATTGTGATATCATGCTTGTTTTGATGCCTTCCCACGTATCTTCTGCGTCGAAAATCTCGGTGAGGTACCAGCGGAATGCCTCACCTTCCAGGTACTCGCTGATGCAGTTGATGCGATCTCGTTCGGACTAGCTGACGTTGCTCGCCTTCGTTTCGAAGAGGTGCAGCCACTTGTCAACAGGGACGTCGTCTTCAGCTCCGGTGTATTTCGGCAGGCTGATCATCTTCTTTGGTGGGCTCGTGATGTTGCTGCGGTAGATCCTGTCGGCTTAGTGTAACGGGTGAGACATGGCGTCAGTCAGAACACCAGTTTATTCTGACCCTTCGTCTTCCTCATCTTCCTTTCCCCCATTCACCTGTGAAGCGTCACACGTATATATATATATATATATATATATATATTATATATATATATATAATGGAAAGAACCTAAGGGCTCGTTTTTCCGTGTTTTGACACAACATTAATAAGATCTACCAGAAAATAATGCCAAGGAATTCCTTGGCATTATTGTATGTTACATCTCATATATATATATATATATATATATATATATATATATATATATATATGACGCTACAAAATGGAGACACGTCGTGGTCCAGATGCCATGCGTTTATTCTAATGCACGCGCACTTCCTCTTCGTTGGCTTCTCCTAGAATCACCTTGTGAATGCGTCACACTTCCCCCTCCCCCCCTCCCCAAGAGAAAGTCTCAGTTCAGAAGGTTCAAAATAACGGCGCAGTTTGCTAACATGCACAATGTCAGAGTTTCTACGTAAGGGTAGCACGGAGCGGGTGATCTCATAGTTCACTGTTGAGACCTTGCGTAGAATCTTGTAGGGTCCTTCCATGACAGAACTCAGTTTGCCGTTGTTGGGATGCCATGATGTCTCGTAAAGGACAAAGTCACCGACTTGGAACTCAATCGGAAGAAATTTTCTATTATAAATGAATTTGTTCTTATTATGGTAGGCGATAGAATTGGTAACTGCAGTTTTTCGCGCTTCTTCGACGGTTTCTTCTCGTTGTTCCAGTACAGTAGGATAAGATGGAATTCCATACATCAGGAAGGAAGGTGCGTAGCCGGTCACTTCGTGGAATGTTCTGTTGTATTCGTCAATTACTTCCGTAAGCAGCTTAGTCCAAGACTTATGTGGTTCGTCATTGATCTTACATTTAAGTCTCGTTACGATAGTCTGGTTTGTCCGCTCTTTCATGCCGTTGCATTGTGGATGATGAGATGAGGTGAATAGTTGGTGTATACGATTATGTTTTAAAAACTGCTTGAATTTTCCTGCGGTAAATCCTGTTCCACGGTCTGAAAGGAGCTTCAGTGGTTTTCCAGAAGAAAAAATTGTTTTAAGCATGAAATGTAGGCGTCACTGTTCTCACTTTTATGAGCAAACGCCCATACGTAGCGAGTCGCATGATCAATAACCAAGTGTATAAACCTTTTTGACGAGCCATATCCAGAAAATCCTCCTATGGTGTCTATTGCAAAGAGGTCGAAGGGCTCTTCAGCTGGAGGCAGTGATTCAAGCGTTCCAAACTTTTTTGTTTTCGTCTTCTTGCATCTCTGGCATGTATCACAATGCCGAATGTAAGTGGAAACATCGGTTACCATATGCGGCCAATAATATTGCGGAGACAGGAGTGATAGCGTCTTCTTCACTCCGACATGCCCAAAATGTTGATGTGCATTCTTCAGAATGGTTGGGCGTAGTTC